ATATAAGTGGGTTGGATAGGAAAAAATAAAGTATTAGGAAGAAAAAAAGTATTTTTCAAATTTTTGTTTTTATTTTCCGTATTTTTGTTTTTTACTGTAACAAGTTTTGCAACACGTTATATCTCGTAGCACGTTATAATACATGTTGTTTATTAGATAGACCGCGTGCTATATAAGAACATTATTTCGAAATACGTCGCATTTCAGACTAAAATAAAGCGGTAAAGAAAAACCAATGAACGCTTTCTCATACTTTTCAGGCTTACGACTTTCTATAATCCTAAAAATATTTTTTTAGGCATGTACTTTTTAAAACGATATAAAATTAATTATTTTTTATTATAATTGATGTAAACGTTATTTTAAACTTAATATGAATTATAAATCAAATAACGGTGTATTTAAAAGTTTATTCATTGTATTTATAAAAATGAACTATTTACATACACTATTATATACACTTTCTATATTTTATTTACATTTAAAAACATTAGTTAGGCTTCTTTTATAGCAGACAACTCTGTCCTTCGATCACTTATAAATATACAGTATACACTAAATTAGGTCGCGCGCGAAGAATAGCGTGCTACTAGATCAAATTTGCATCACACGTCCTCCCCCAACAGCGCTGCTGCTAGAACTAGTTGCGGCTAGATATTAATACTTAATAGCGACAAAGCGCCATAGCGCAATGGCATCATGCCGCCTACTTACAAAGCACGCGCTATGTGTTATGGAGAGATAGCGCGCTATTATATGGCGCCATGCGCTATATTAACCACCATTTATATTAGTAAACAAAAAAGTGACCTTGTCGAATTTTGATTTCATAGGTTTATATCCTTGACTGCCTCTAGTGGTTGTAGTAGTGCGACTGCTGATCATGAGGTTCTGGGTGGAATCCCGGGTTGGGCCAAAAAATTAATTATTGAGTTTTTCCGTCAAGAAATTCTCAGTAGTTGCCCGGAGTCAGAAAGTTGGCGGTGTCTCACCCCCGTGCCTCGGAAAGCACGTAAAGCCGTTGGTCCTGCGCCTGATCTCTCTCCGGTCGTGTCGGTTTACCGTCCCATCGGATTATGAGAGTGAGGAAATAGAGAGTGCACCTGTGCTTGCGCATACACTTGGGCACTATAATCTTGTCCTATGGCTAGCCTCCGTTGAGGCAGGCCGACGTGACCGGAATTCGGTATGGAGGACATTATTATTATAACAAAATCCTTATGGACGCCACACACGGTCAGCCAAAGAAAATACCACAATCACGTTCAGTTCAACTGATCAGTTCAAACTAGGGTTGTTAATATTTTTAGAATGTCGGATTTTCGATATATCGATAATTATAAATATATCAATATCGGGGTTTTATATATCGTGAGTTAATATACAGTAAGTCAATATCGGAGTTTTATATATTGAAAGAAATATCGATATATCGGCTTTATTTAAAAAAAAAACAATCGTAAGTCATTTAGTTCATTTATTATATTTATTAAGCAAATTAAATTATATATGTATGAAAATGTTAGATTATAATTTTTATAATTTTTTTTTTCATTAAAATAAGATGATTATGTTTACCAATATTTTTAGTAAGAGTTTTCAAAAATACTCGTTGTTTTATATTGTCAGCTATTTTATATGTTAAGAAGCACAGGTGCTACAGATGCAGCTGAAGAAATCAAATATTTAACAGCTATTTCTGATGAGAACGGTAGTAAACTTTCTACCCAGCGGACAGTCGATAACGACAGTAACTCGAGTTCATAAGATGCCTAAGCGATCAAAATAACTTGAGGTTTATATTAACATCGAAGCACTTGTTTAGTCGTTTTCTCTATTAGTTCACATGCGCGGACACTTAATACACAAAATCGCATCACTTTTACGTTTCAAAATTCACTTCAAACCATTATTTAAACGATAAAACAAGAGCAATAATCCGTCGACGGTCAAGTTCCCGCCAAAACATACAGTAAGTAAAGTAGTACTAAGTTTCGTAGATCATAGTAATTTTAATACCACAGAGATATACTATACAAAACTACATTTCTTTTTAAGGTAATAAATAAACGGGAAAAATTAAAAGCATAATATAGTGTATATAAATAAAGTACAGTAGATTGGGTAGTAGTAGATTAAATTATTTTCGAGAAAATATAAAACATTAAAACTTTTTATTGAACAAAATATCGACTGTCGATATCCATATTTCAACGCTTAGCGCGGTGACCGCACGACCATGGTATGGCCCCGCCCCTGCGTTATTGAGCGAACGCGCTAAAGCTGGGGCTACGCTAACGGGAAACATCAATGTCGATAAATGCTGCAATTATTGCTTTAAACTTAACGAGTTAACGAGACAGTGGCTGCGCTAACGGCGTTAAAGTTGCGTTAATGTTCCTTGAAGACTTTTTATATTTGTTTAAAATGGTTCTATAAAAACCCACTATGCGTTCCTTCGTCTTTATAATTTTTCGATAGTTGTTTTAAAATGTAGTAATTGAATATTTCCTCGCAAAGCATCATTTTGCGATGTACGATTCATAAAACTTTTGAGTCTCGGATCCCACAAACATGGCCCTGTTTGCAGAATCTCAAGAAACGTAATAACTTTTTTATTATTCCACTCCATCATTGCCATACGCGCGACCCCGTTACGCTCATCGTACACAGTAAGACAAAAGTAGTGTGGCCACCTCAACGCGTAATTTCGTGCGTTAATCTCTTTGATGTACCGCCTTGGGATTGCACCATCAGAAAGGTAAGATCATAACAGTCACCTAGGTCTTTATAAGCCCTTTCAAATGAGTTGAAACACGATCATCCTATCTAGTGCCGTCACTGAGATCCTTTACTCAATTTCGGAGTCCACCATAATCAGGTAGATGAGATCATAACAGGCACCTTGGTATTTAAATTAATCTAAAAACGATGGTTCTACGTAGTGGTATAATTGAGATCCTTTACCCAGATATTGAATCCGCCATCAGGAATGTGCGATTATCAGTTACAAAAGTAGTGTGGCCACCTCAACGCGTAATTTCGTGCGTTAATCTCTTTGATGTACCGCCTTGGGATTGCACCATCAGAAAGGTAAGATCATAACAGTCACCTAGGTCTTTATAAGCCCTTTCAAATGAGTTGAAACACGATCATCCTATCTAGTGCCGTCACTGAGATCCTTTACTCAATTTCGGAGTCCACCATAATCAGGTAGATGAGATCATAACAGGCACCTTGGTATTTAAATTAATCTAAAAACGATGGTTCTACGTAGTGGTATAATTGAGATCCTTTACCCAGATATTGAGTCCGCCATCAGGAATGTGAGATTATCAGTTACCTAGGTCTTTATAAGTCCTTTCAAGTGAGTCGAAACATAGTGGTCCTATGTAGTGCCGTCACTAAGATCTTAAACTTACCTTCGAATTCCACCATAATGAAGGTGAAATCATCACAGTCATCTAGGTCTTTATGAGTACCTTTCAAATGAGTCCGAACACAGTGGTTCTAGGGAGTGACGTCACTGAGATCCTAAGCCCCCCTTCGGAGTCCACCATCAACTAGGTGATATCATCACAGTCATCTAGGTCTTCATGAACCTTTTTGAAAATGAGTTTTAACACAATGGTTCTAAGTAGCATCACAGATCCTTTAACCACCTTCTGAGTCAATCATAAGGAAGGTGACATCACCACAGTCACCTTAATCTCCATCCTCCGTCAAACGAAATTCTCTAAATATACAAAATTATAAAAAAAAACTAAACAATATGTAAATAACGTAAGTAGTTACATACTAATTAAGTAAGTACTTACCTGTAATTAAAACGAACTGAAGCCAGCGGATTATGGTGCGCCCGAAAAACTCCGTGGAGAGCCATCAGTTAAAAATTTCAACTTAAAGATTTCACACTCACGATCAGTGTTTGGATGTACGCCAGTTCGACTGAGCTGTTTCAACTGACAGCACGCCCGAAAAAATCAGTGGGTTGTCGTCAGTTGAAAATTTCAACTTAAGATTCCACATTCACAGTCAGTTTTTGGATGTACTACGCGTTCATTTCAAGTTTGCCGTCGTCGATAGTTATGATATCACAGCTGACGGTACCATAGACAAAAAAATTATCACAATTTTTTTGTTAAATTGAGCAGAACTAAGTAAGTAGTTTGTTGTCCTATACACAGAAATTACACAAGAAGAAGATACAGAGTTAATTTTATTCAATATACAGAGATCAAACAAGTAGATAAAATGCATATTATAAAATAATTTATTTAGCAAAGTGAAATAATTACAGTGAATAGGAACGTGTCTGATACAATTACAAAATATTATAATTAAATTTTTTATAGTTTTATTTTACATTTAAAACATTTCAAATACGTAAAACATTACAAAGGCGCTAATATCGGTACTAATAGGGCGACGCTTGAGGCACGGAGTGAGGGAGCGCGGCGGGAGGTAACGGCATTCTTAAAAATGAACAAGTAGTACGTCAGTTCAACCGATAATTTTAACTGACCGTGTGTGGGGACCATTATGGTTTCCCGTTAAATGAGTAATCATAATCAATATTCAAACATAGAAATAAACCGTATGAAATTTGCAAATAAAAAATTATTTTAATTTAATTCAATTTTCTTATGGTCGAGTTTTCTGAAGTAAAGTTAGTTATACATTTGAATACTGATTCAGATAACGCATTTACCAAAAACCACAGGGTTTTTGTTAAATGTATTATATTTATAGTATGAAAAATGCAGCATACAACTTAACGCTATATTCTTACAAAGTAATATCTATATACAAAAAATAAATTATTTAATTTTCTTCTGGTAGAATTCCAGTTTAAGGACAATATTAATAACAAGTCAAATTGGGATTCTTTTAGATTCATACAGAATGGCAGCAAGTGCAAAACATGTAGAACTAATGAGCATAGAATTATATTTTATTTGATAAAATTTAAACAATATTATAATATATTTAGCAAACAATCAATCTGACTCTACATCGCTATCTCCCTCCAAATCGCTGTCTTCAAGCTCTGGCATCGGAAAACGTAATATCGCAGCTATGCCAGTTAACTGGTCCAATTCTGTAACAAAGTTATAACAATTACTTCTACTTTGTATTTAATAAGGAGTTCATTAGCATTTGACTTGCAAACTAAATAATAAATATAATACAAACATTTATGGCCGGAGATGGCCATTCCAAGTAGGTTTGACGAGCTCACTTTGGATGTTTGCTAATGGACTGCGGCGAGATTAGATTTAGTCGCCATGGTGAGTGTCGGTATTTCGATACACCGCTCTTCCTACCATCCACCGAAGGGAAGGAAATAGAGTGAGAAGGCTCAGGGGTACTCATTCTCTTGGCACCATGACCTCCACGTGACGGTGTCTAGGAGACTCTGTTGCATGGAGATGGAGGGATGAAGAAAGCGGCGCCTTATATACCTGAGCGCTTTGCCCGAGTAGAAATAGAGGAGTTTTCCTTTAGCGAGAAGGGGCGGTTGGAGCTGGTAGGGTCCCGGATAAGCCCAAAAAATTGTCGTTTATTATACTGTGTGTATGAATAATACCAGAAAAAATAAAAATATACTTTAACTATCCCAAGGAGTACGTAATAGGATGAGTAAATATTTATTACTTTTTCAAGTAAGTGCCTTTATTTTATTGTATGATCCTTTTTTTAATAAGTAGAAGGTACTACACAGTGTAATTTTACCTTTTTATTGTTATTACAAGCTTTTAGTAAACATTTGTGGGTATGTGGGCGGGTTGGTACGCAGTAGGTATGTGTGTTAAGTTTGTTTTGTTTGTCTTCACATATTGTGACAGCCCTACTAAAATAGGTAACAATTTCGCACGTTCTTAAGAAGATTTGTCTCTGTTCCGTTTATCTACCCATGTGACAACAGTGCAAACACTATTACTAGGCGACATAAATAGGTAAGAGAATGGTACCTACCTAGGCAGACTACCCTTTTTTATAGAATAAGATTGAAGATGAATATGGTCACCTGATGTTAAGTGAATACTGTGGCCCATATACACCTACATCTATCCTCGATTAAGAATCAAAATGCGGATGCATTGTCAACCCTGAAGACAAATATGGAATGCCTCGTTTCCAACCAAAAAGGTCTTTAGTTCTCTATGCTCACCATATGAAACAGACAGCAGCATTAAGCTGCTATTTTACACTGTATATACTGTATTCTCTGAGAGTATGATCCTCCCCCCGTCAAGCCAACTCATTCATACTACCAGGTGGTCCAAAAGTCACTAAACCATTAAAAATTAGAATAAAGTTTCACTAATTTTCTTAATTTATTTTAAACTATTTAAACATAGTCTTTGGAAATTAGTTACGGAGAAATTCACGATTGAGCAACGTGTTAAGTAATTGAATTCTTTATAGAAAGCAAACGGTCAACTGTGTTAACGCAAAAATCCTACCACTCTTGTTTGAGTGTCAGAAAATCACCATTTAAACAAACTACACTTCATTTATTCCGACAACAGAAATCTAAATAATAAGGCAATAGAAGTCGTAAAAGCGCGTGACCTTGTCGCCGCAGATGTGACACGTAGGCCACAAGCGCGCAAGGAGCATTTGTTTCGGTCACTAGTGTTATTTCGGACGCAGAGATGTAAAAATATAGTTTTGAAGCATATCTAACTGCGGAAATTCTTCCACAACTTGCAAGTTTTTAAAGGGATAACATTTCATAAATAAGTACTTAGTGTTTTAAATAACGTTGTTAATAATTAAATATACTTAAATAAAATTATTCACCTCCAGTACTACGATTGTCTCCGAAAATGTAATTGTTTCCACATTTCAATATCCATTGATTCTTAAGCTAGTTCATGTCTACGAGTATGACAGCTAAAAGCAGCGATGGGTTTATATAGTATGGGCAATAAACAATATTGTTGCGTACGTAAGTTTCTAAGAACACGGCCGCAGGAGTCGAGACAGTGGCGTGACACTACTACTTTGTACAGAAATGAGAATGAAATGTGAGTTTTCGTATATATATATATATATATATATATATATATATATATATATATATATATATATATATATATATATATATATATATATATATATATTGCACACCTGGAACCAATTTCAAACAAAGGCTTACAACTCCAGTGACACTTCTGAAGACTAAGATGGAATTGCCTATATTATACTATTATTTATACAATAGGGTTCTGCAACAATAGCTATATATAATTAATAATTAGTTTGCTGTTTGTTTCGGGGGAAAAGGTGTATTTAAAGGCGCTGCAATACGCGATCGGGGCAAACCAAAGGGTTGGTCGCTTGTTTCGTTCAATATCCGCGGTTTGCGAAATAACCTCCCAGAGCTTAGGCTCTTTCTTCGAGATCGCGAAGCCGACCTCCTCCTCCTTCAGGAGACCCACCTCAGCCCTAAGGTCTCTAAAGGCCTATCTATTAAAAATTATTCACTTCTTCGTAATGACAAACCCGACCGCAAAGGCGGCGGTACTGCCATTTATTACAAAAAGTCCCTTAATTGCTACCACATCCCCACTCCGACGTACAGTATGGAAGATTACTGCTGTCCCTTTGCACCACATCCCCACTCCGACGCTTACCAGTATGGAAGCCACTATCACTAGATTAGCCATGACTGGACACCAGTCTATCATTATAGCCTCTTGCTATTTCCCTAGCGGAACCCTCCCCGTTAAGAGTGATTTCGAAGCCATTCTTGCATTAGGCGATTCAGTCATTGTGTTTGGAGATTTTAACTCCAAGCATACTGAATGGACCTGCCGCACTACTACTAGTAGTGGCAGGGTGCTGCTTAATATCACTCAGTCTCTCGACCTGACTGTCTATAGCCCCCCTCGCTGTCACCCACTACCCGACAACGTTAACTACGCTCCTGACGTGCTAGACTTTGCTCTAGTTAAAGGAGTCTCCCTTAACCTTAGAGTAATCGAGTCTCTCGATGATCTAGGATCCGACCACCGTCCTGTATCCCTCCTTCTTGGCCATCAGGCACCTCCAACTCCCACTTCCAAAACCTACACCAAGGGCTTCAAGAAGCCTCTAGCCTCGGCTATAGACTCTCCGGACCCTCCCATAACCCTTTCTACCGACGTCCTCGATAGTACGGGGAAAATAGACACTGCGGTCGAAATATCACCTCTCTTTACATCCTCTCTTAAAGAGAATGAAAAGGTTGTCCCGGTTGCTAAAACTAGTCTTCCCCTAGATATTAGCAACCTGCTCAAAGCCAAAAAAGCTGCCCTCCGTAAAGCTGCAAGCTATCCCACTCCCGAGTATAGACTCGCGGCCCACCGCCTTCAACGCAAACTCCGAAGACCTCGAAAGGAGCAATCTCATGGAGAAAATCTCCCCCTCTCACACAGCGTACTACCAGATGGCGAGAGCCCTCCGGATAGACGTTATCACGCACACTCCCCCTCTGTCTCGTCCCGACGGCTCTATTGCCTTCGAGGACGTAGAAAAGGCTGAGTGCTTCGCCGACAGCGTCGCCGCTCAATGATCTCCCAGCTCACAACCCACTGACCCCCCTACATATCCAACTAGGTCCGTCGCCGGAACTCGCCCCCCACCGCCTCTGACCCTATCACTGTGTCCAAAGATGAGATTTCATCTACCATCAAAGGACTTAAGCCCAAAAAAGCACCGGGTGCGGATGGCATCTCCAACCAAGCCCTCAAACACTTTCCGGAGCAGGTGATCGCCTTATTGGCCATAATCTTCAACGCCTGCTTCGAATTCAGCTACTTTCCCACATCTTGGAAAGAGGCAACTGTCATTGGCATTCCCAAGCCAGGAAAACTTCACCACCTCCCATCCAATCACCGTCCCATCAGCCTCCTCAAGGCCATGAGCAAACTCGTCGAACGAGTTATTCTCGTGCGCATGAGGCGCCATTTGTTTCCCACAGATGGCGACCCTCTTGTCATCCCTCAACAATTCGGATTTCGGGCCAAACACTCGTGCACCCAGCAAGTTCACCGCATAGTGGAATATATCCTCAGCGGTTTTTATCCTCACCGTCAAAAGACCATCGCGGTCTTTTTCGACATTGCCAAGGCATTCGACAGAGTATGGCACGAGGGCCTTATCTACAAATTGTACGACTTAGGTCTCTCTGACCGTCTCGTCCGCCTTGTAGCCTCCTATCTAAAGGATCGTACCTTTTACGTTAACACGAAGGCACGCTATCCTCTACTCGTCAAATCAAAGCCGGTGTCCCTCAAGGCTCTGTGCTTGCCCCCCTCCTATATATACTATTCACCAACGACATCCCTATCCCGTCGAACGGTGTTAAACTAGCACTCTTCGCAGATGATACAGCCCTTTACTCTAAAGGCACTTATGCCACGATTCTAAAGATCCAAAAGTCACTTAACGACTTAGGAGCTTGGTTCCAAAAATGGCGTATCGACGTAAACCCGGAGAAGAGCTCCGCCGTTTGCTTCGAATATAAACGACGCCGTCTCACCGCCACTCCGCCAATCAGGATGTTAGGAACGCCCGTCCCATGGCAAACAAAAGCCAAATACTTAGGCGTCACCCTTGATGCAAGGCTCACTTTCTAGCCCCATATCAAGAAGGTAACTCGCACCGCGCGATTTTACATGGGTAGGCTCAACAGCATGTCGGGAAGACACAGTAAAATGTCCCTCCGCAACAAGCGAACCCTATATAAGGTCTGCATACGACCTGTCATGACCTACGCGGCCCCCATTTTCACACATGCTAAACCAAAATCTATTCTGGCGTAGGGCCAATAACTCTATGTCCGTAATGCCGACCTACACCGAGACTTAGAGCTCCCAATAATCCAGCAATTCCTTAAATCACTCTCTGAGAGATTTTTCAAAGCCAGCTTCTAGCTCTAGAAAGCTTGTTGGGGGGGGGGGGGGTCCGAGAGAGTTTCTCGGTCTGCGCACTACGAACGGCAGGCAGCTGTCTCACGAATGAGATGATTTGGGTGGGACTCGGAGTCCCACCCAAATCATCTCATTCGTGAGACAGCTGCCTATGCAGCCCCTATCCACTCGCTAT